CCACTTGTGGGACTGAGTGGTGCTCTGCTGTGGTTTGAAGCCAACCTCTAAGTATATTGGTTCTGGGGCTGCTTGGGAGGGGCTTCTGTGCAGGCCCAGGTCAGCTACTGCCTTCGACTTGCCGGAGGCTACCTGGTAGGAGCTATAAAGCGACCCACAGTTGTTTGCTGCTTGTGCTGGACCTGGAGGCAGGTGGGAGAGGCCACGCTCCGAACTGAGGATGGCTGCCACCAGTACTGGGTCTGGGGTAGCTCTGCAAAAAGCCAGGACACCCTGAGGTCTGTTGCCACCTGCTGGCTCCCTTAATGTTCAGCCACTGATGACACCTTGTGTGATACATGAGTTGGGTGAGGCAGGGTTGCAGGGAGTCATTAGAGTTGGAAGAATTGTGGTCACCAGGTTAATATAAATTCTGGTTTGGTGCCAGTGCTGAGCCTGGAGCAACTCAGCAAAAGTATCAGAGCACACTGAGGTCAGTTGCTGCCTCTCTGGGGGCCTGTCAGATAGTTTTCGAAGAAAGAGTGCAATTCGAGTGGGTCTAGCTAATCACGGAGAAAGTACCTCCATCAGTGAGCGAGTTGGGTGGAATGGGTTCCCAATGAGTCAGCAGGTCAGAGCAGCAGAGCTTACCAGGCCAATCAGATTCAGATTTTGCCTGTTAGGGTGGGCTCAACACAGGAAAGATGGCGCCTGCCTGCTGCATTAAGGTGAACCCCTCACAGGGAAAATGCCGACTGTCCTGCAGTCCTCTGCTTGAAGCCACCCACCTCAGTCTACCCCACCCCCACCGTAGGTCTCCAAGGCTCTCCGAGTCACTGACCCTCCACTGGAGCCAAAGGTGGATGCCTGCGAGCAAGTGAGTCTGTGTGTGGGCTGTTTAAAAGGATGTCGGGGTTTCATGCAGCCTTCTGGCCCACCCGAACAGTTGGAATCCCCACTGTTTTTCACAGCCACATGTTGTGGGGGCTCCTCTTTTCAGCACCAGTACTCTGGGCTGGGCAGCCTGGTGTGGGGGACTAGGGTCCCTTGCTCCTCCAGGGGAAATGAAAGCGGCCGAGATATCCCACCTTATTCTCAACTGCCACACACAGGTGTGGGGCCTGTTCCTTCTCTCTGCCCTCCCTACCAGTCTCAGCCTGGCTTCTTTATATTTTTACTTGTAGGATTTCTGTTCAGCTAGACTTCAGATGGTTCTCCCGGTTGATTATTCTATAATTTAGTTGTAATTTTAATGTGTTCACGGAAGAACGCAGGCAGTGTTTATCTGCTCCGCCATCTTGGATCTTTCCTCCCTGTGACTATTTTTATAACTGGAAATTTGTACTTCTTAATCCCTTTCACCTTTTTTGCCCATCCCTCTAACCTCCCTCCTATCTGTCAACCATCAGTTTGTTCTCTGTATCTATGTTTGTTTCAATTTTGCTTGTTTATTTATTTTTTTTAATTCCACATATAAGTGAAATAATATGGTATTTGTCTTTCTCCGTCTGACTTATTTCACGTTGCATAATACCCTGTAGGTCCATCCATGTTGTGGCAAATGACAAAATTTCATTCTTTTTTATGGTTAAGTAATATTCCATTGTATATATGTACCACATCTTCTTTATCCATTCATCAATTGATGGTCACTTAGGTTGCTTCCATTCTAAATACTGTATCTTCTGGTTCTCTCTGAAGCATTTTATTTTCAGTCCTAAATTTCCAGGGTTAGTGTTTGATATGAAAAATAGCTTAGCTTTGTTTGATCTTTCTGTGAATAAGAGATTTGTACTATTGGGTTTTTGGAAAAGTCATGATGTATTTTGTCTATGTTTTTCAAAGGTCATTTATTTATATGAAGAACAAAGATCAATTAGTGATACATTGCCCATTTTGTTCAATAACCTTTTGCCATCTTTCAGTGAGCTTCATAATGCCTCTTTCATAGAAGGACCTGTCTTTGTTTGCAAAAAACTAAACAAGGTGCTGATTTATAGTCTCATTTGAATTGAACATTATACCATGCAAGGAGTTTTGAAGAGAGTGAAACATGTGGAAGTCTAACGGCGCAAGATCAGGCGAGTATGGTGTGTGTGGTAACACATCCCATCCAAGCTCCAATAATTTTTGATGGGTGATCAAGCTTGTGTGTGGTCTCGCGGTATCGCGATGGAACACAACTTCTTTATAATTAACAAGCTCTGGATATTTCTGGATGGTGGGTTCATTCAAACTGTCCAGTTGCTGACAGTACACATTTGAATTGATTGTTTGGTTCCTTGGTAGGAGCTCGAAAAACACGACACCTTTAAAATCCTACCACACTGAGAGCATAACCTTCCTCCGATGAATGTCTGCTTTCGATGTCATTTGAGGCGAATCATCACGTCGGGACCAAGACCATTTGCACACCACATTGTTGTAAACAATCCACTTCTCATCACCAGTTATCAGTCGCTTCAAAAAAGGACTGTTTTCCTCACATTTAATGAGCATATTGCAGATGTTTATATGCACCGTCAAATGAACTTCTTTGAGTTCATGCGGAACCCAAATATCAAGCTTGCTTACGTATCCCAGCTTCTTCAGGTGGTCGTGAAAGCTTAAATGATGGATGTTCAATGTTTCTGCAGTCTCTCATGTCATGTAACATGGGTTTGACTTGATCGATGCCTTTATTTTGTCGTCATCAACCTCAATGGGCCTCCTTGACTGAGGAGTGTCGTTGAGATCAAAATCACCAGCACGGAATTTTGTGAACCATCGTTGGCACTGATATTTTTGTAGAGCATTGTCACCATAAACTTTATGCAACTTTTCACAAGCTTGATGCGCATTCTTCCCTTCATGGAAGTAAAACAGTAAAATATGGCAAAAATGCACAGTTTGGTCTTCCATCTTCAACTTGTAAAATCTCCAAAAGTCAACCAAATTGCTCCATTTTTTTTAGAATGAAGCTAGAACTGTCAGCTGTCAAATGATACAGCAATAACATAGATGCAAATAAATCTAGTACTTCCAAAAATGAACTAGTGCCACCTGTTGCAAACATGCGTCATGACTTTTCCAACAACCCAATAGTTGATAATAATGCTCTATAGTTATATCTAGAGTGTTTTTATGTTTACAATCTCATTTAATCTTTTCAATAATCATTTATGTTACATACTTTCTCTGAGATCCTATAAATCCCTGTCTCTATATTTAGAAATAGGAGAAATACATATTTAACACTTGCTGAAGAATGTGGACACCTATATAGGAATGTAAAATTATGATGATTAGGATGAATATAAATAGCAAGATAAAAATCTTGAGATCAAAACAAAAGAATCATTTTAACTATCATGCAAAAACAACTAAGTGGACATTAGAAATGGAGCACAAGTAGCACTTGGAGTCTAAATAGACTCATCACAATAATTCCCTGACTCGATCAATGATGCTGGTCTCTTTTCTAAGTTAAATCTTCAAATACTTTGCATTAATCTATGATGGCAGTGGAGAGGAAGGTTAAAGCTTATTTAATTATCTAAAAGCAAACTTACTGAAAAACATCTGTTAATTTTCAAAGTTGAGAAGGTTGCCAGATATCCATGAAACTGCCACTGTAAAATGCATTACAAAATGCTGAGAAGTACGAACAACAGATTACTATTCATGCAAACTGAGCAATCTGCTGGGGTGGGGATGAGCCCCATGGCCTGGAAGAAGCCCTGGACAGGACGGTCCAGGTTCAGCCATCTATCTAGAAGCAGAAGCAAGTCTAGCCTGGAGTAGGCAACCTTCTCCGAGGTGTTCTTGAGGACCAAAAGACAAATCCCCTGGCTCCTAAATCATCTTATTTGCCATAACTTTTGAAATTCTACTTTGTCATCTATTTTCTTTGGGTCTTGTAGGTCTTTCAGCCTCAGAGGCTCCTTTGGAGGAGGAACACCACAAACCACTATTTATGAGGATGAGGAGATGTTTGGATGAATAAAAGCAAAGCCTTATAGGAATAGGATTGATGCTAGATATCCTGATAGTAGGGAAAGAGGAGGACTGAACGCTGTTGGAGGAGGGGAGAGAAGGGTCACCAGTGGCAACTATAGGATGCACAAACCTGCTCAGAGCTGGCCTCTGGGGATGAAGAGCCATAGTTTTCCCAAAAGTTCCATGAAAATTTCACCGAAGTTTTCCCTTCTACAGTTTTTTGGAGCAGTTCCTGCTTTTCTAAATTTGTCCACATGCTTCTCTTTAAGTTATTTGGAAATGGGCATCTATCTTCAGCAAATGTGCTTAAATGCCCCCACATTTACACATTTCTCCAAAATCAAATACATTATTAGATTTAATAAAGTTATTCAAGAACTGTGCATGACTTACTTCAGGCCTCAGCCCATCATTTAAAGCTCATAGTACCTAGGGACAGATTGTTATGTTAAAACCACAGAATGCAGACTGACTTGTGTACTACACATAGTTAGACTGAACTATAATCTTAGGGAAAACGTTTGATAAAAATCATCTCATTCTTTAAGATTTGCTTGTCTCCAAGTAGTCTAACACAGTGCCTTACATGGTACATGCTCAATAAATATTTGTTAAAAAATACATTTACTAATGACAGTTATAATTCAATAATAAATGACTACATAAATAAATAAACTCTTCAAATTAGAAGGAAAAAGATGATAGTTTTACAACTATTGGAAACGTTTGCTGTGGTAGAAAAGCAAAGTAAGATGCAAATTCCCCAAAACTCTCTCATGTATACAAACACACACACACACACACACACACACACACATATTTAAAGCAGAAACTACACATACACACACACACACACCGTATTTAAAGCAGAACCTCTCTTTATAACTTCCTTTGTCATATTAATTATATCTGAAATTTGAGAAGGTTACCATTATAAGATAATAATTGAGACTTGTAATGAAAATAACTTCCAGATGAGGACAAAAAAAAGATCACTTACTTATTTTCTAAATATTGATGATTTTTTTTAGAAACACACTTACCCCATTTGGACTGTCGACCCTAGAAATGAGGGTATGCAGTAGTCAGCAGCTGCCAGTGTATATGGTGGTCGAGCAGCAGAATCATCCCAGTAAATGTCCTTCTTCATCTTAGGTAAGCTCATGTGCATCTCATCCACAGCTAAAAGAGAGACCTAAAATCACCGTTATAGTGTTAGAATCATTCAGATGTGAATTGTATAAAGAAAGAGAGAAAGTTCCAGAGGGTGGAAGGAATTTGGTGTGGGATGGAGCACAGCTTAAATGAGTGAATATACGAATGTCTATAGTTCGTATTTGCTGCAACCAGGGCTGCACAGAGTTGGACATGCTGTTTACTGCACAAGGGCACTTGGCAGTGGGGTTCAGTGGGGCTGTACGACTGCCCAGACTAGATTCATCAAGCCACAAGCCTCAGGGTGGAGCTGCATCTTACCTGGAGGCAGGAGAGGCACCTTTCCGTTCTTCGCTCAAAGTCACCATATTGTCTAGTGGCTGTCCTGACAGCAACCACATAAACCCAGATATTATAGGAATTTGAAGGTTCTCAATATCCTATTCTGTTGATTTGATATCATTTCTTCTGTGTCCTGAGTTTTTGTTCATTTGGATAAGTATATCAATAAGCCTATACTGCTTGGGGCTATAGTGGTCTTTCCTTCGGCTATAACAATCTGATGCATGGATAAATTATTAATCATCTGAAGATCCAGTTGTTACAAAGAGTGAGTGGCCTAGGCATTATGCTACCTCCCTAGCAGACTGATAATGTGATTGTTGGAGGAGGTGATGGAGAGGCCGTGACTGCTAGTTGACCCATGAACTAGACCTGGGCAGATGGAGGCTCCTCACTACTCCCCTGTCCTTGGAATGTACGTTTGCCCACCGTTCCCACAGTGGGAGCCACTTCAGGGATGCAGGCTTGAGAGCGCAATGTGTTCTTGAGAACCTCTGGATTGCATACATGACTGAAGGCCTCTATATAAACTTCTAAGCTTCTGGCAGGCCGATGTGGAGGTCTACTTATCTTGCAGCCGCCCAACACAGGCCTTGTATGTAAGTTCCCTTTGCTTATTAAAAGTGCCACCTACTAATCTGGAGTGGCCTACCTCTGTCTTCCATCTCTCCTTGCCCTCTGTGTCTGGGGGCCAGTTTGCAAACCAAGAGATCTATGGTGAAATATTTGAACCTGTTTAGAGCTGAGTAAGGGCTTGAAACAAATAGACAAGCTGAAGGCCTTTTCTCAGTCTGTGGTTCTCAGCATAGAGAATGGACTGAGGAGAGCCTGCTTAAAAGGAAAATTCTTTCATGCTAGGTTCTTCATGACAAACCTCTCTGGAATAATGCTTAAGGGTAAGGGCTCTATAGTCTATTTGATGTGATTCAGGCAGAGTGTGGCCCATGGTCCCACTACTGGACAGCTGACGACAGGGACCTACATGATATGAGTTTGGGAAATCACATTGGATTGTGTCTGGCTGCCATTTTATCTCACTCTTAACCTCTCTGGGTGGCAGGAGAAAACAGATTAAAAGAATGAATTAAAATATTGTTCTATACTGAGATGGAAGAGGCTGGGTAACATGAATCAAGCAACTTACAAAGAAAAACTGGCTTGAAATTCTCCTGAAAAGGAGCTAAATTTCACTGGACCTGAGATCCAGGACCTGTGAGGTTCCCAAAGGACCCAGGACAACATAACCGAAAAGCCAAACATCCTTTATTTGTGGTTAAAACTCTGAAGCTCAGGGACCTGCCTTTGGGATCAGTTTAGTTTTGCAGCATCACAAGTCACAAGTGACCATTAATGTTTATAAAGGAAAGAAAAGTTCCTCCAACCTGCAGATTTCTGTCAATGCACCAGTTAGTTTCAAAATCATCATCATCTTCTCCAAAAGGGTTGATAAGCTGCTCAGCTACCTGCAGTGGAGAACACAGACAACGTCAGTCATGACGCTTTTGAAGACTAAGAATGGAGTTGAAGACAAATCCTCTTTCACTCTCTGCTTTTTATCACTTTCATAATATGAAGCCTAGAGGGAAGTGGGTTGTTCTACAGACACGGATATTTATCAGCAGACCGTGAATGATGCATCTATCTGCATGGGATCTGTGTGTTCAGCTGGTGACAATGCAGGCCCTATCCAGGAGAAGCCATGCACTGTTTAGGAGCCAAATAACTACTTTTCACGTACAAATCAAACCAGTGAATATTGAAAGAGCACTGACACGGATATTTATCAACAGACTGTGAATGATGCATCTATCTGCATGGGATCTGTGTGTTCAGCTGGTGACAATGCAGGCCCTATCCAGGAGAAGCCATGTACTGTAGAGGATCCAAATAACTAATTTTCACGTACGAATCAAACCAGTGTATATTGAAGGAGCACTGATGAGGTGCAAGGCACCGCACCAGGCACTTGGAGGGGTACGAAGCCTGTGCTCTTAAGGAATTTACAAAGGCCCAGGGAACGAGACAAAATGTAAGCATGAGGAGAGTTAAACAGCAAAGAAAGAATTAAATCACGGTTGAAGAAAAAGAGTACAGGGAGCTTTCACAATTGTTGGTCATAGCTGCTAAATGAGTGAGTCAAAGAGCTAGTAAATCATAAAGCTGGAATTTGTTTTAGTTTTACTCTAAAAGATTTACTGTTATTTAGTAAGTTAATTTTCCCACTGGGAATTGTTTAGGTAGCTTATCATATATCTTCTAATAGGTGGTCAATATTAGATGTTTTTACCATTTTCTTGAATTGAATAACCTTTTTGATGAGAGATTTATAAGCCAAATATGACTTATCTGTTATTTTCATTTTTTAGTAATTTCCTTTGATTTTTATTATCTGGAAGTGTGTGTGTGTGTGTGTGTGTGTGTGTGTGTGTGTGTGTGTGTGAGAGAGAGAGAGAGAGAGAGAGAGAG